TAGTAATAAGGCCGATCTTCCAGAGCCCTCAATCAATTTTGTACTACCGGATATTGTATTAACATATGCCTTTTTCATAATCAAATGAGAGAAATATTTATTTTCTCTTAGTATTGTATGAGTTGTGGCACTATCCAGAAGACACATATCTCCATTATTTATCTTGGATCCAACTGAAGATTGGGAAATTTTATTTGTCTTCATAAAAATAAAAATACATAATAAGAAGTATGAAATTTAACAAAAGAAAATTTAAATACATGAAATTTAAGTATGATATTAAAGACACATAACAACATTATTCATTTCCCAGTTCAATTATCAATCTTCAATTGTGATCCCCAAAGAAGTCCTCAACTTCTAGATGAGTAATATCATCGAGCCCATCAAAAGCATCATCTTTCAATGCTAAATTCGCCTCAACATTCTCATCATATTTTTGAGAAGACCCTGCCTGAGCATCATCTTTGAGAGTCAAATGTGACTTCACTCGGGCATTAGAAGAGGAGGCACCGCCTTTCTTTCCTTTTCTTTTAAAGGAATTCTGATACAGCCTGACAAAATGTTCAGTTGTCCGACATCATTTTTCCAATGACCTTTAAGGCCACAACGATGACAGTGATCATCTTTTCCTTTAGAAGGATTATTTTGAGAACCCATATTGTCCTATCTTTTGTTATGACCACCATATTGACGATTATTATATCGTCTTTTGCCCTTGCCACGCCCATACACATTTTCATGGTTTTAATTATTTTGTCTTATTTCAGACTGGCCATGTGCTTTTACCCCGTGTGCCTCCGATAATGGAGCACTTACAACGGGACGGGCTTCATGATTTTTCATTCAAAAGGTCATTATGTTGCTCAGCCACCAAAAGGCATGAGATCAGTTCAGAGTATTTCTATAAACCTTTTTCACGATATTGTTGTTGTATTATCATATTAGAGGCATGAAAAGTAGTTAGTGTCTTTTCCAACATGTCCTCATCTTTTATAGTTTCCGCACATAATTTCAATTGGGAAGTTATTCTAAATACAACAGAGTTATACTCAATTACAGTTTTATAATCTTGAAATCGTAAGTGCATCCACTCATAACGAGCCCTTGACAATACAATTGACTTGAGGTGGTCATACCTCCCTTTCAAACCTATCCACAATTCAAGTGGATCTTTCACTGTTAAGTATTCAACCTTCAAGCTTTCCTCAAGACGATGACGAAGGAAAATCATAGCTTTCGCTTTATCATGACTTGATGCCTTATTTCCATCGATTATACAATCACCAAGACCCTTAGCGGTAAGGTGAATTTCGGCATCAAGTACCCATGACAAATAGTTCTTTCCAGAAATGTCAAGTGCCACAAATTCAAGCTTTGACAAATTCGACATGATGGAAACTATCATAAAATAATTGAGTTAATATTATGATGTTGGTTTCTTTATAATAAATGGTAAATTAATGTTCAAATGATAAAGTATAATATGATTATATAATTTATTATATGCTATATGCATGCACATTGAATGTCTCAAAAACATATAAACTAATGACGTATTGAAACAGTATATTTAATATGTAATTTTAATTGTTCTACAATATTTATTATTAGTTTCAATAGATATTAACGCCAAATTTTTTTAAGAGTTTCAAGTCATATTTAATATAATAATATTCTTCTTTATGACACATACCAATATACTTATCATAATGTATGAAAATACTTACGAGTTATTTTAACTAGCATGTTATCATATTACTTAGTAATTAATTTAGAGTTATAAGTTAGTAGCATATAAATAACATAACAATATAAACTTGAAACGTATTGATTATTATGCCTAATAAAGTATCATAATAATAGCTAAATCAAGTTATATATACAGTAATTAAATTATAGATAAAAAATTTATGCAAGTCCTATTAAAGGTGTTATAAACATATAAATGTATACCTGACTTTAAATGAAAATTGATTAACTTTTAAGAAAAAAAGATAATCCCAAATTAAGTAGGTCTCAATTGGTTAGAGACTCGTGCTGATAACGTGTTGTGAAATATTAGCAATATAAAATAATGTAAGACAATAAATATATAGACAAGATATATGGGAGAGAATGCTTTCTTATATCTTTCTTCTATACTTTTCTATTGTATCTTTTATAAAATATTCAACGCCTATTTATAATACAAAATACCTCTTCAAAGTTAGATGAATTAAATAGTGTTCATTAATTTCGTACATGAACTTCAAAGAGAGTTACAATGACATCCACATTAATACATTTATAATTATAACATGGAGCATAATAAATTTTGGTCTCTCATTAGTTGTCAAGGTTTACCGATAGAATTGATATATCAATAAATATTTTATATGTCATTATTAATGTATAATTAATGCTGCCATGTATATATAAATTTTTTTATAGAATTTTCTATTTATGTTTTTTCTCTAAAAAGATCAGTAAACTAAAAATAATTTCTAATAAGGGACCTCCATTGTTTTTTATCCGTGAGATATAATGTACTTAAGTTTACAACAAAAATCTGATAATAATTAATGTTATTATGATTTTTTTTTTCAAGTTAATTAGTTACCCATGTATATATAATACACTACGTTAGATCTTATTGCAACAAATTTTATTTAATAATATGAAGATTTGGATAGTTTACTTTAACGTTTAAAATATTTTTACTATTGAACAAAGAGAAAATACATCATTACTCTCTTCAACTAAAAGAATTTTTTTAAAAGACACTGAAACTTTGCAAAGGTCTTAGTACCCCTTAAACAATTTAAAAGTGGTTAAAGTATCCCATATTTTGATCAACCCAAATACATAAAAAAAAAAAAAAGTGTATGCACGCATCAATTATTATTGACCATGTGTCAATTAAATTTATTTTCATGTATATTATTTCTTATTCATATTTTAAAAAATAAATAAATTATTTATTATTCTTGTAGCCCTTCTCTTCGCCGTCGGCGGTATTTCTCTCACATAGCCGCACACAACAATGGCTAAGTAAATTGTAGGAGCAAAAAAATAAATTCTCCGATGGTTAATTTTTTTTGTGTGTGTACTTTGCCTTTGATTTTTAATCAAAATCAAGATGTGTTGTATCTACAAAGATGGCAAGTCTCTATCTAATTTAGATGGGGTATTTTTTATTTGGTTTGAACATGGCCCCTGATGCCCTGCGTCATTCGCCGTTGCCGTCAATCTCTCTGGCGCTTCTCTCACCGATCATTTCTGATCTTCCTCCACCACTTCACTCTACTTTCATCTCTTTATGTTTTCAATAATCTTATCAATTTTCTCCGAAGCTTTGGAGTTGGAAATTTTCTATGGCAGCCAATTTATTTTCAAGTGAAACCATTGCAGCTTCGTTGATCGGCGTACTGGTAGGTCCCAATGGTAAAAATACAATAAAACAAGTAAAAAGAAAATTATATTTTTAATTAAATAAATGCTAAAATGAATAAAACAATAACCTTTTGTTTATCTCACTCGCTAGGGGTGAGTGAAATACACCTTATGTACCATATAGGATCATAAAGGAAAGAATAAAGGGAGGGGGGGGGGGGGGGAGGAGATATTAGGACCCTTTCAAAGTTTAGTTGTCTTTTTAAAATAGGATAATGATGAATTTTTTCTTGAAAAAAAGTAATCTTTCTTTCCCTATATTTTTAATAAAGACTTTGCACCCTTTTTTTCTCATGCAAATTTCAATATTGTTTTAAGTAAAAATAAATAGATAAATCAACATTAATAAGTATTTACATCACATAATTTAATATGATATACGTTTCATGATTATTGAATTCTTTAAATATAACAATTTTTATTACATTTCTTCCATATCTAGGAATATTTTTTTACCGTTTATACAAATATATATTTTAGAAGATTATTTTTTTCCTTCTTCCTTATCACTTTCTCTAGTCCACAATAATTGAATTTTTGAATTTTTCTAATGTTCAAAATAACTTATTTATTCAATTTTTTTGAGAGTTGTTAGAAATTTCTTCAATTTTTGCCTTCCATTTACATTCTAATTATGTGATAAGTATTGCTAATATTTATAACTTTTTCAAAAGAGTAATTGCTCATATTTATAACTTTACTAAATTATTTCTATAATTTCAAGAATAATTAGAGAATAACGAAAAAAACAAAAGTGAAAAGTGGTGTTCAGTTTATGTCTTAATTTTTTAAAAATTGATATACATTACCTCACAAATTTAGTTAATATAAACTAGAGAGAGAGTAATGTTTAACGTATCACAAATAATTAGACAATTATACCGTACTTCCCCGGCTTCAATGTCACTTTCCATGTTTAAGTAACTCTTTAAATTCAATATTCCACATCAATTCAAACTACATTGCATAAATTGAAATATATATGCAACGCATTGAGTTGAGATATAGTTCGCACAAGTCATTAGACGTATTTAATTATCATGGGTCTGTTCAAAATCAAACCAAAATCAATAATTCAAACCAAAAAGAGTAATTGATCTATTAGTAATAAGTTATTGATTTAGTGATTTCAATAATGATTTTGGTTTTTTTATATCGGGTTATCGATTCTTAATGGTTTGAGATTTATTCTTTATGGGTTAACCGATAATCCATAACAAATTAGTAAATTACATTTATATCATCCGTATATAAAGTTCTTGACTTATATTTTTATTTCTCAATGTCTCAAACTCTCAGTTATTCTACAAGGTGCCAGTGTTTTCTAATTTTGAGCAAGATTCAGTCTGTCAATTCATATATGTGCATGATTCATTTGGTTTTTCACTTTGTTTCTAAATAATTCAACGATCTTTTTGGTGTGAAATCTTAACTTTTAAATCGATAATGATCAATAAGCAATACATCGATAAATGCATATATAATATTAATAGTCCTATAACAGTTAACATGTATGCAAACTGATAATCAATAAGGTGAATCAATAAACTTCAAAGACCGAATAGAATCGACCGATATGATCAATATTCTTTAAAATTGTCTTGGAAAGGGTTGAAACCTTCTTTAATGGCACTTCTAAGTTGTGGGACAAGAGGGTCTGGTAGATTTTCCCAATCATACCATTCCCATCCATCACATTTTTGTGGTTCAAGATTTTGAGGAATCTGATTTGGATCAACCAATACAGCACGTACTAGGATGACTACATAGTGTTCTGCAAGATTTGCCTCATTGTCTAGGAAGAGGTTGTTTGTCACTTTTAATATTTCTATCTTCATGATGTCCAAACCTGTTTCCTCCTTCACTTCTCTTGTTGCACATTCCTCAAAGCTCTCCCTTCAAAAGAAACAAAAAAGACATGTAGATATATCAGATCTCTTTAGAAAGTCATTCTATGTAATAATATTTTACATATTATATATGTCCAGTAGTGGATCTAGGATCGTCAATAAGTGGTGTCGATGATTGTAGTAAAAATATAATTATGAGGTGTCGATGATTGTAGATGTGGCTACTAGGACTAGAACATACGATCTCAAGGAGGTTTCACAACACCTTAACTAGACTAAGCCTTCAACTTCTGTCAAGAGATATCAATATTTGTATAAATATTCATTGAACTAAAATTTGACCTTTATATATAGTGTATTTTCTGATGAAGGGGTGTCGCTTGACACCCCTTCGGTATGGGTGGGTCCGCCCCTGTATATGTCGGTCAAGTTTTCTGTGAAATCAATCTTTCGTGTTATATGTTTTATAACAACATATTCAGTAAAATCTCATAAGTAGGATATGGAAAAGATAAAATGTACATAGATCTTATCACTACCTTATAGAGATAGAAATACTATTTTCAGAAAAACTTTGATGGCAAAGGGAAGAAATTTTCAACATGTGGTATCAAATCATTCATAATTAAAGAATAAGTATGTGTAAGTAAGACTTAAACACGTGATATATATTCAGTAATTTGATATAAACATCGAATGCGGTTACCCAAACTCAAGATGACCACTAGGAACTGAAAAATAAGAATGAGCAACACAAGCTTGACGTTTGCCAATCAACAATTTGTTTTCCTTCACTATGAACACTGCCACAGCTACTTTTGGACTTCCCACAGCCATCACCTCTTTTTTTCTTTTCTTTTCTTTTTCTTGTACTCAATTAATTGATTAACAACTTCATGTTATCTTGCTCTATATATAAGCACAAATTAATAAAATATTTATGTAGGTAAACTTATCCTCTCTTTTTTTTTCTGGGGGTTATGACATGTTTTTTTTTATGTGCCAAAAAGAAATGATAAGGTCAAAGAAATAGTGGCAAAGCTTATTCACTAAAAAGTCATTATTTTTAAAAAAAGTTTTATTAAAAAATATTAAGTCAATTTTTTTATAGATATTTTGATGGAATTGATGATAAAAGAAAAGAGCAAAGTTGTTTATTTAATTTTATATAAGTTTAGTGTCTACTTGTGTACGCTCAAAGTTGGAGGACATAGATGACAGTTGAAGCTAAATTAAAGAGCATATATATGTATTATGTCATTTTTAAAATTTATTTAGTGAAAATTTATTTTCTATCATATATTTTCCTAGTGATCCTTTGGTGGAAATTATTTTGTTTCTAGTAGTGGTGGATCCTTCTTCGTTGAAAATTCTGTTGTATAATCATACATTAGAAGATAGTTATAATAATTTATAGTGAGAGGTCATTTTACGAGTGTGTTGATATAGAAATAAATAATTACTAATCGTTATTGTTATAGAAAAATAAACATAACATAAACTATGTTTCGAGAAAAACTTGATTGTTATAGTGAGTTATTGTTATATAAACATGTTGTTATTAAGAAGTTTGACGGTATAGATTAAAATTATTTCTTATATACCTTATAAGCTACTACAGTAAAACGTCACTAAATTAATATTCGGATAATTAATAATCTCTCTAAGGTAATAATTTTCTCCGATTCCGACTTAGGCCAATGAAAAAATTCACTCATTTCGATAAGATAATAAGATAATATATTTTTAGAAGACCCCTATATAAATATATGGTCTCATTAATATTATAAATTAATAATTCTTTAAAGTACAAATATATTTAAGACAATTTAGTGAAATATGATTATGATTATGTTATGTGCTTTTTTTGTTAAATCTAGTTGAAGCTCATCTCTAACTTTTCTTATTGCATCCAAACATTTCGGTGTTGTCTTTGCGAACTATACTATAAAATTGTGAAAAGTTCTAGACACGATAAATACTTCCTTACGCGTAACTGGTTTCAAAGGTATTGTATCATCTTCAACTTTATCATCAACATTGTTTTTTCTAGTGATTGTTCTAAGTCTGGACCTCTGAACATGTATCATTTTCACTCATCCAATAGGTTATTATCCATTTTATTACCGTAACTGAGATCACTCATCATGACCTCAAGTTCATAAATGACATTTTCACAAGTGGATTCATTCAAATTCTTTGTGATTTCATTTTGCGGTGTCGAAACACTCTTTAAATTAATAAATATTAATTTGTCGATTAAATAATATCTTTATAAAATAATAATACTTTGTAGTCTCATCTATATTAATTTAGTGAGATTTTACGGTACTAACCCATTACACTTTTTAATAGACGTTTGTGATTCCCATGGCTGGATCTATGAAACGATAAATTATCTCTTCACACCACTTTTATCACTTTAAAGTGACAAAGCAATGACTTTTAATATACAACAAAATATCTATGTCATATTAAAAACTTTAAAGTGTAGATAATCCAAATATATTGTCAAGTCTTTTTTTACAGCACAAGGTGCATGAACCAGTGATCACTACTTGCTGTTGTAGCAAGTCTCGATCTAAAGAAGGAAATTGGATAGGGTGGATCTAGAGGTTTAGTAATGAATTTACGTGAATTTAATAATTTATACATATAAATTAATTTATAAATATTTAACTATGAATTTAATTATTGATTATATTAAAAAGAGTTAAAGATAAATTAGTAAAGAGGAAAAATTGTTAAATTTAAAGAACGTGTGAAAAATAATATGTTAACAAATATAAAACGGAAGGAATAACATTTTTGATTGAAAAGAGATGATGAAAAGTAAAGAGGAACTTGTAAGCTTGCTTTCCCAAAAGTACTCCACTAAATATAGAACAATAATTGTTTTAAATTTTATAATTTTTCAATAAAAGATTTTTTAATTTTATATTTTAAAAAAATCAGGTTTGTATATGAGCAGATATGATGAAAATATAATTAATTAAATAAATAAAAATGTCCTCTCTTTAACCACTTAAATTTTCAAATAAAATGATCAAACATAACAATTTTTTTTAAAGCTATTTGGTGACAAATCATCATTTTCTAAATTTTAATGTTGATGTAATCCTAATCAACAACAATTGCAAATTCAATGATATGATCACACAATTAGCAATCCAATTACATAGGGATGCTGGTACGAGCAATATGTAAATCAAATATGCACTTGTAAGCGTGATCCTTCACTTTCTATTATCAGAGAATCAATCTCGTAGCCTAGCTACGTAGTAGGCTTAGAGCCTTTTTATGGAGGCTGACATTGTTAACCATTTTAATTCTCACTACAAGAAAACTGTGAATTATCTAGGGAATTTACTTGGGGATTTCGTCAGCAGATTTTTCTTGCGGATTTTTATGGGAAAATATGATATTCCTAAATTCTAATATATATTATCTCCAAAAACAAATTTCCCAAAAATATCCGCAGCTAAATTTTTACGCCGTTTTCCGCAAAAATATTACCTTGGGAATTATGTGGAAAATTTATCTGCAAATAATATTTTCATAAATAAATCCGCATGTAAATGAATAAAATAAATTCCTTCATTGATTTGCAGGACAATTCCGAAGTAAAACTACTTGGAATTTAGTTAGGGATAGTTTTATGGGGATTTACATGGAGATTTTCTTACCTGTTGATTTAGTTAAAGAATTTAATTCTGTGAATTTAGTTGGAAATCTATTTCTAGGGATTAAACTAAGTATTACATTACCTATAAAATTACATGAGAATCTTTTTATTGCTTATTTAGATGGAAATTTATCTTAAAAATTTACTTGATAATTTTATTAAATAGGAAATTGCTATGGGATCCCTTTTATAGTGAATTTAACTTAAAAAGTTTCTTGAAAATTTACATGAGAATTTTATTACTTGAAAAAATACTTGAGATTTTGGTTCTAGATATTTAAGTCAGTACTAAATTGTAACGGTTCGAAAAATGATAGGTTGAACTAGAGCTTAATCGTGAGGGTCAACCTACGTGTTAGACTCCGTAGTTGAAGGACCCTTTTTAGGTTTGGTATGGGGTTGCAAGGGTAATGTGCCAAGGCAAGGGGGGCAAAGCCTAGCCAAAAGCCAAGGCTGCCCAACCCTTGACCAAGCACTGCCAAGGTTCACGACCACCTTAACGACCAGTGGTCTTGACCACGGTCCGTGAAGACCCCTTGGCCTTGTGGGAGTTGTGCAAAGTTGAGGAGGGTACTGCATCAAAGACCACGGGCACCACCACGAGCAGTGGTGCCCTTGACGGTCCGTATAGATGGTCGTGAAGACCACTTAGACACTTGAGAGGGAAAGGCATGGAAGCATTAACACTGCCTCCATGACGACGACCTCAACCACGACTTGTGGTCTTGACCACAGATCTTGGGAGGTCTCGTGGACTTGCCTTAGGCCCTTGAGGGCTTGTCAAGTTGGAGGGGCACACTGGTCAAGGGACCACGAGCACCACCACGAACCATGGTGCCCTAGACGACCCGTTTAGATGGGTGTGGTCCCTGACGGGGCTGCCCAAGTTGAGGGCTTTTAATTTCGTTTTAATTATTTAATATGTGGGGTTGTTTTTAATTGTTTTATATCACTAGTATATATAGTTTTAAGTCTTAAAACAAGTCATTTACTCGTTATTTCTCCAAAACCCAAATCAAAACAAAAGAGTTCTTCCTTTCAAAAATTCTCTCTCTAGAAGTTCCCAAAGAAGAAGCAGAAGTGGGAGCTAGGGTTTGTGGATTCAAGGTGTTCTTCCTCAAATTTCTTGGGGATTCACAAGCAAGGTATGGTGATCCTTCATCTAGGGGTAGCCTCCATGCCAAGAGTCCATTCAAAGTTAGTTTTCAAAGTTTACAAGTTTCTCAAAATCCTAGGGTTTTACTCTAACTCATGGGTTCCTTCTTCAAACGTTTTCAAATGGTTATTAATGACATATTATGATTGTATTAGTGTTTAATTGATGATTTATGATGAAAATACTCTATGAACCCATGAATTCTCTCAATTCCTAAATTGTGCCTTTATGAAGTGGGTTTGTTGATTATGAAAGCTTATGAATGGAGTATGTCTAAATTGCTTTAGTATATTGAATTGTATCACATTCATGCCTTATTTATAGTAAATTGTTGGTGTGTTGGTGATTTGAGATTCATCGCCATGAAGGGCATAGTATGAGGAATTGAATTATTATCATGATGTCTTGTATATGAATGTGAATCTAATAAAGGTAATGTGATCATGTCTTGAATGTAATTGCGTTATTATTGAAAGGCTATTTCTCAATTTGACACTTATGGATGTTGATGATGGAATGTGAAGGGTTTCTACAATGTGAAGCTATATCTTGAATTGGTAGGTGTATGCATCCTATTCTTGTATAAATGAATGTAATGTGGATTGATGGGTCTTGAATTGGTAGGCTTAAAGCATCATTTTCTTGTATTGATGAATGTGACCTTGAATGTAATATCATGTCTTGAATTGGTAGGCTTATGCATCCTCTTCTTGTTTAATGAATGTGTCTTGACTTGATGAATATGAATCGATAGGCCAATGGCATTCCTTTCATAAATGAATGATGAAGTATTCTAGGCTATGTCTTGAACCGGTAGACCTAGTGTTGGTAGCTTCATGATGAGTCTAGAAACTAATGTGATGATAAACCTTGACTCAGTAGACCTAGTGTTGGTAGCCCTTTCATGTGTGAAATGATGAACCTTGTATCGGTAGGCCTAATGTTGAAGGCACCCTTCTTGGAAAGTCAATGAGCTATCCTTAATGTACCTTGAATCGGTAGACCTAATGGTGGTGGCCCTTTCTTGTGTAATGTACTTGGGTCGGTAGGCCTAATGTTGGTAGCCCTCTCAATTACAATAATGTTAATGAAAATGAAATACTCTATGGGAATGGAGGCTAAGTACCGAGTGGATATGGTAAGATGGAAACTCTGCCGATGTTAGGCTAGGTTCCAATGAACATCTTCCTATCCCATAACTATGTGCCCACATATGATATTAGCTAGTGATTTCGACCTACGCTAAAATGTTACCAATCCTACCTTAGGCAAGTAGATCACCTTTTTATGGTGTGGGGGCCATACAACACCGGATTTCATGGTTTGCTCTCATGGTCTATGTCGGTTAATGCCTATTCTCATCATGTGAGATGTGTACTATGGTTTCTTGAGAAGTTTTATGAAGTGTGGGTAATAGTATGTGATGCTATCCATGCATTGCACGAGTAGGCTTTGAGAGGGTCATAGTGAGTTCTCTAATGTCTTAATGACTAATGAATGAAAGTACTCTTAATGAAGCTAATGAAGAATATTGACTTAAATGTCTAAGGTAATGATGCATGCTACACTTGGATTGTATTATGAGTTATTTTCCCTTGTCATGACTTATGAAATGAATGTGTTCCTTATGCATGAGTATTGCTTGAAGTTAAGTATGAATGGGTAAGTTCATCTAAGGTAGCCTCAAAGTGGCACTTAGTAGGGATAGTAGTATGGGATGCTATCCTTACATTGCACAAGTGTAGCTTAGGGTTACTTAAGGTGAATGTTCAAATGTGATGATTATGACTTGTATGATGATTATACTTGTATGTTATGTCTCTTATACAAATGTACATGATATTTCTAAAAAGTGGCATAATGCATGGTTTCCAACCAAAATGTCCCTTTAAAGCATGATTTTTGCATGGTCATCACTCATCATACTTAGTACATTTTGTGTGTTAATCCATATTTCTCTTATTTTTACTACAAGTGTAGGTTCCGGCAAGTGAGTTGCTTTCTCTCTAGTTCAAGGGCTTGGATTGAGATTCCTTCAAAGCTAAGTGGTATGTCCTCATAGACCGAGGACAAGTGTTTAGATGTTTCCTTTCTTTCATGTAAAAGACTATTGTTAGACTTTCGATTGTAAAAGGCCGTGACCGTACTTTTGTTTTGGATATTGTTAAGATGGCCATGTGAGACAATAGACTTCCGATGTGTTTCAAATGTTTTAATCAAGTTTTGATTGTATGGATTTAAAGAAAAGTTTTTAAATTCCGCACTATTTCTATGTATCGAATGTTATGAATGCTAAGAGGCTTGTACGAGATCCCTTCGGGGTCAAGTACGTCGTGTAACTTTCAGGGTATAGGCTCGGATCATTACATAAACTTTAGGGAATTTATTTGTGGATTTTCTTACTAGAAAATTATTTTTATATTGTGTTGTGCTGAGTTAAAAAGCTTTTCTAAACTTTTAAGGTTGTTTTAAGAAATATTAATAGTTTCTATTTAATGATAAATACTAGGCTTAAAAAAGAAGTAATATTTTTATGCAATATTCTCACTCTAATAAGGTGAAAGAAAAGGTTCAAAGAAACAATATAGACCTAATTATTAATAACAATATTACATTTTTAAAATTTATATAGGGTGAAAAATATTTACATTTTCATTTTTAATCAATAGATTTCCTTCTCATCATATGTCAATTAAATTTATTTAATGCTTATTTTAATATTATATTATCAGTAAAAACACTTTTAAAAATCATTTTTTATTTTTTATTTAAATCCATCTAACAAATTTACCCATGGAAAAAATAATATAATTTTCAAGACTAAGAATGAGTATATAAGTATAATAGTTCTTTTAAAAACAGATCTATCGTTTAGGTAAAAAAAGTGAACAATTGATAGTTGAAGTGTATTTTGATAAATAGTTGATGATAATTTAGGTGGAAAACTCGAAAACATGATACTTCAGTTATGAAACTAACAAAAATCTGAATTCTTTAGATGTATTTTTGACCATTCACTTCTAAAAAATAAGGACAAAATTAATTTTATAAAATAGTTGAGGGATGTAAATGATTTTCACCATTTATTATTTTACTAGCAATGTCATTAATATTTATTAAGTTATTTAAAGTTGATTGTACGTAAAACTCAGTCCCCTATTAACTATATCTATTTTTTTCAAATTAAAAAATATTTTTTTACATTTAAATATAGTGGATGAAAAACTGGGTAGAAATATAATAGTCATTTACTCTTTGTACCACATCCGCTATGCGAAACTACATATTGGACATAGTAAGCAAATCCCATTCGCAAAGCACGTGTAATGTTGGTCTAAGTTTGCAACTGAGAGCAATGAATTAAATGATATTAAAAGAATTAAAAATTAATAAATATAAAAAAATTGAACAAAATAATAAAGTAAACGGATTTGAGCTATAAATGTTATTAAAAGAATTAAAAAATAATAAATATAAAAAAGTAAACGGATATGAGCTATAAATGTTATTAACGGATATGAGCTATAAATGCTATTAAAAGAATTAAAAAATAATAAATATAAAAAAGTAAACGGATATGAGGTATAAATGTTATTAAAAGAATTAAAAATTAATAAATATAAAAAATTGAACAAAATAATTAAGTAAGAATTAATTAATAATATAGAAAATTGAATTACGAACAAAATAATTAATGGGGTGGGCGGTGCAGTGGGGCCATAAAGGTGGTAATTCCCTGAAAAAGTATTATAGTCATAAAATAAATATAAAAAATTAAATTAGAACATTTTAATATTTTTGAAAGAAAATTCGTAAGTAATTTCATGCAAACTTTTAATATTTTTGCAAGAAAATCCGTAAGTAATTTACATGCGGTTTTTAAAATCCCCATGTAATTTATTTGGGAATTTTAAATTTGCAGGTAATAATTACTCCCTCCGTCCCTTTTTAGTTGTCCACTTTAGAAATGGCACACAGATTAAGGCAACAATGATTAGCACATTGAAGTTACAATTTTACCCTTATGACAACTTTTCACTTCAAAATTACAACTACTTATTTGAATTCAAGTGAAATAAATTGGAGGGAAACAACATACACTTTTACAATTTTCAAGAAGTGTAAATAAGGGTATAATAGGAAAAAATTTGTTGTCCTTTCTTGATTTGTCAAAATGGACAACTAAAAAAGGAAATATGGACAAGTAAATAGGAACGGAGGGAGTACCTTAGAAGGTTTTACCTTCGAAAAATTTTTGGTAGGAAAATTCGCAAGAAACTACGTTACCTGGAAATTCTCATATATAATCCGCAAATAAATCCCCAAGTAATTTGCACTTTTCTAGTAGTGTCTTATACCCAACTCTTCCGGACAATAACATGTTAATTCTAAGCTTGCAAGCACCTTGATCACATCTAAGTCCTATTAAATTGTTCTATTTGGACCGAAAGAAAATCATTTGTCTTTAGCGGGAAGAATTGCTTGAAAGCACTTGGCATTCAAGCGGGCCACACTCAAACAAATAGTTTTGAAACAAATAAAAAAGTATGTGCCACACTTACAAAGGACTGTCAGTTTCTTACGACATCAGAAATTTCTTGTTCAAAACATATGAGACTCCAGTATATCATCTACCAGATCATATCATATATCATATGACATTATAAAGGCATGCTTCAGTCTTCGATTAAAACGTTCATCAATTTTTTATGATAATCACATAACATATCATATGTCGACAAGGCATCGTAGAGGAACAAGTTCATTCATTAAAAAAAAAACCACTTTCCACAAATAGACCTGATACTCATATAGTGTATATCATATACTGAAAGAGTATCATAGAGGTTTGCATCAATCCTTCTATTAAAAAACATTCATCAAGCCTCTTTGATACGCACATGATATATCATACACTGACATGATATTATAAAGGACTAGGTTCATTCACTCAGGAAAAAAAAAACTTTCCTCAATATAAGGGTTTCGTATTAAACTTCTCATAATCCGACATTGATGAAATTCCTCTCAGAAACATGAAAGCTCTGATACAATGTCATGTATTGAGCTATTTGAAAACTCAATTTATTGAAGAAAATAACAGGAGAAATACAAGAGATGGAGAAGGAGAGAAGTTCTGTGGAAAGAAATAGATTTTCAAATATTCGATAAGTTCTCATCAGTACAATCCGACTATTATAAAGGACAAATGACCGCCTAATTCTAACGTGTAGTAGGACAGGTGGCTAGTTCATTGCAAAGACTATTCTACAATTACTGAAAGCATAACTTATACTAGCATTACTAAATACACTGGCTAAGGAATGCAAATGTGGCTGAGACTGAATTACTGCTTTACTTTCTAGTATTCATTTTGACAGCAATTGGATCAGAACAGTATGGACAATTGCCAAACAGAACATCAAACGACCTGTAAAACAAACAAAGTAGATGAATGTGATAAGAGAATTAAAAAATTTACGTCCTTGCAGTTGGCTAGAGTTATGCAGGGTTTAGTTATTCCATCTTCTACCCTACCTAAAATATAGGTTCTTTCATAGCTTATACATGTGTAAGTCATGTGGGATTGTAAACTGGTAACCAAACATCGTATTTGATGTGCTGAATTCTATACATAGCAACTAAAATACCACCAAACATGGTACTTGTTATGCTGATTTTAATACATGAATAATTTACTTCCTAACCAACAATCAAACGACCCCTTAATGTATTGAAGGTTACAAAAGCAAAAGGTAACAAGAAGTTCCAAACACAAAAAGGAAAGTTCAATTATTCCAAAAGTTATACATTTCTCACTTTTACTCCCTTTACACAATTTTCTCTACATGTTCCTCAAAAACCAAAACAATGTATTGCCCCTTCATTTGTCCCCAAATTAGCAGTAAATATTCTCAAATTTAACTCTCTTAATAATCATACAACACGAAGTCAATTTGGATTAGAGGGTAATCAAAGTCATTGCATAAGTGAAAAAGAAATTGAAAAATAGAACTTCCATATGTGAAAAGAATGCATATATTATCACTGTAACATAGAACAGTATGACTTACCTATGAAAGCTCATGCAAGGAAGGTAAGAGTTTTCATGCGTACTGTTAAAAAAACAAGGTGTGTTTTAACTATACTTAGTTCAACCAAAATCTTGTCTAATTAATCTCTCCTTAGTGTATATGGACTGGTAAGATATAATACTCAGATATTTCATTAGCATCTGTAACAATCGACAATATATTTTCCTTTCCAAAACATTAATCTAGTTTCAACTTGGCCTGGCTATATATCAACTAAAAACTTTTACAGCCAACACTAACAGACGATCAACAAAGCTCAATCATGGACTCGCACAACAGAATGACAATATCTCAAGGATATGTTTACCATCACAATCAAAAAATCAAGATAGGAGATTTCAACTTACTGCCTTGTTGTTGTGATAGAACGCAGCCAATCTCCAAGGCAAACACTATGGAAGGCCCTACTGCAGCTGTTATTTTCACATGTACAATCAGTGCCACTTCCACTCTTATCACCAAGTTCATCATCTAGATTGACATCATCAAGTCAATGCCATACCACAGAATATCAATGGGTTTATCTTACGGATATAGGATTACCAATTGGAAGATATTGTGCATAACAAATGCCACATTCAGTTTGTGGATCAGTTTTCTGAATACTTGAAGGTCCATGAAGTTGAATATCCAATACGTGTGCAAGATTCTCGGAAAATGGCTTGTCTCTCATCCTGTGAGTAGAATAGAAATCTCAGCTGGTGAGACATAACAAGCGACATACAAAATCTCAGCACAAGTTAAACATCACAAGCTTGATTGTGTTGGAATTCAAATCCTAGGCACATCAATTTACCTTAAGAACGACTCGGTCATCTTAAGGGATAGATCTCCTAAGGACATGATAGCCAATAGAACCTCCTCTACCTTTCGAAAGAGAAATTTAAAACCATCCTTACCAACCAGTCCGCAATCCCTAAATCCTTTTTCCTGATAAATGTTCAAAACACCAATCATAGAGGAAAAAACTGAGTAACTCTTACACCCTGCCACCCTCCATCTCCCAATTGTTAAATCTTTTTTCCTGAATATGGTTCAAAATGCCAAACGTAGAGAACATTCCATGTATAGCAAGTTGAACCTCCTCAACCAATCAAAAGGGAAATTCAAATATCCTTAGACACCCAGCCCCAAGTCCCTTAATTTTTTTTACTGATTAATGTTCAAAAACTTAAGTGCAGACGAATTTGATTTTTATGCATGAAAACACCAGGTAACAGAGAAATCTACAATAATGCTTGAAAAATCAAGAAAAATTACTTAAACCAATATTTTGAGCACGTTAAACAACAGTATTAGCATCTAAATGTAGAAATGATAAGGACTGTGATAATATATCCAGCATAAAAGCAAAAGTTGAAATACCATCTTTTGCAGTTTTTCCTCCACATCGCCCTCAATCTCTCCACCCCTGAATCAGAACCAAGAAAGCGACAGCTAGAAGAACTCCATATCAATTTCAAACTCATTAAAGATAAGAATACTTGTAAAAGCTGCGAGTTTCAGAAAAAAACTTACTCCGGTAGGGATGTCGGATCATTAGCATCTATAGACAATATGATGTAGCTGTCATTACCTATAGCAAAAGAAAATGGATATCAGTTAGTTCTGCAGCGGTAAAGGGGTACTGAACAACATTCATGTACATAAGCATTAAGCACATACTTATATTAAGTTGGCGATGTGACAAAGCACGTTGAGGATATCGTAGATCAGAAACCAAAAGAGAGTGGTCAATATCATCCATTAGATTCCAAAAGTCCTGAAGCTTCTCAAGATGCTGGATCCAGTAAGAAAAAAATATGGTAATTATAGCAGAAAATCACAATCCACCAATGTCTAAAAACTACACGTCTTTGGTGGATGAAATAATCAGTAGTAAATCAAATTGAAGAATACACAATTACCTTATGAAACTGTTGGATAGCATCTTTCAGTCTTGAGTTTATTGACCATTTTAAATTGAAGAGATAAGGAACATCCTGGGGAATAGTTAATAAATTAGGAAATTGCCTAAAGAGTGCAAGGCTCTAGTATCTGAAATTTGAAGGATGCCAACCGCTGCTATAGAAGGCGGATGGTTAGGATATGATCCATCCAAAGTTATCTGCAGAATGTGCACTCTTCCTTTCTTGTCCCTAACGCACAGAAAAAGCTTGAGAGTTTATTTCCCGGCAATGTAAACTCCAGTCTTCCACTAGATGCAATTCAGAAGTTTACAGTCCTCCACTACAGTCCCTCCTCTTATAATTCCTAACAAACGGGAAACAATCTATACCGTCTTCTTTCATTTAACGAACACCTAGCCTTCCTCATTTTAGCCCAATCATAGTGTTAAAAGATAAACGAGGCCTTACTTGGTGTGAAAGCTGAGAAGTCTCAGATCTTCCCCAAATCTAACAAGGTGCTCCCATCCTATCTCTTCTACCTGTAGATACAACATGATTTCAGAAGAAAATCCCAGTAAATATTTGCCTAAAGCATATTCACACGAAGAATACACCGTTCAATCAATGTCTGGAATAGACAATGATGCAACTGGCATAGTAGTTCAGAAGTCACATTTAATATCTCTTATCTTGAAACTGAGGAATGTCAAGCATATTACATAAATTACAAAGAAGTTTCATGAAAGGCAAGCATGTACAAAACTCATCTATACTGTTTCTGATCATTCTCATCAATGAAGTTCAAACTTTCACAAAGCCACCGGACAGGGCAAGGACATACAACAACAACAACAACAACATACCCAGTGAAATCCCACTAGGTGGGGTCTGGGGAGGGTAGAGTGTACGCAGACCTTACCACTACCTCGTGGAGGTAGAGAGGCTGTTTCCGGGAGACCCTCAGCTCAAGAACATCAAATCTAAGTGACAGGAGAGATATATATAAAACATAACAACCAATACAAAAGATAGTGTATAATCAACAAATGAGACAATAACATCAAGAAAGTAATGTGAGGAGTGAAACGCAGTAAACAGCCATAAGGCTAGGACTACTCCAAACGCTAACAACCCATACCCTCGCAAGGGAAGACAACACGCTAACCCTACTAACCTTCAACCTTAATACATTGATGTTAAGATTTAACATCAATGTAACTATTGGCTGGCTAACTATCCTTTTGTTAATAAGATGAATTCATTAGCCAAGGGCGGAGCTAGAGTGTGGGATGCTAGTTTGGTCGAACCAAAGTAGCTTTGGTTGAAACCCCGCATTGGACTATTTGTCTTAAAATTCCACTAAATATGTACGGATTATTAATTCAGAACCCAATAACTTGAAAAGAATAGAATCCAGAACCTATGTTGCCCAAACTTTTCAAAAATATCAATGCTTGCATGTTTGATACTAATCCAACACGAGTGCGGTCGCATTTTTGGAGAGTCAGAGAAACATAGTCCACAACCCACCTTCAAATTCAGGTGCAGTAACTCCACTTCCCCACACCCCAAATAAGAAAAGCAAAACATGGGGTTTTTCTTTCCATTTTAAATTTTAAGAGCACACTCTAAAAAAACAGAAAGCAATAAAATACAGTATTGAATCTTAAAGATTGACTGATACTGATACAGCATACCTCTGAATATATCCTGCGGTAGAAAGATGATGATTTGGCCAGTTCTTCGCATCTTTTTTGGTCTGCACACTCCTAAATGTATAAGATTAAGATATACTTTGTATGCAAATCAATTTGGGGGAAAATAAAGTTGTTACTTACCATTATAACTATCTTCCAACAAACCTAAATTGAAATTTTCAATGTCAGATACCAACGCCACCAGCCTCAACAACTTCTACCCAATTCCCAAGAATCTTTTTTTTTTCAGCTTACACAATCAAGCATTCAGAAGCATTACTTCTTCGGTTTTAGCCCGAAAATCAATCAGCAAAACGAACAGTTTCTTTTTTCCGGTTTATACTTCCTTCATCCAACAACAGATATCTACCGTATTATTTTGGAATGTCTATCAATATTTGTCCACTTCATGAAATTACTAGATAATTTTATACTTACTTCCTAATTTACCCTTATCATTAATTATAGTCATTTATTTATTTCACTAGGTAATTTACCGCGCGATTTCTAAGCTTTTGAACAACTTTTCCACTAATCGACGGTTATTAAAAAAAAAAAGTAAATTGTTGTCGGTTTTTAGAACATTTCAACAGAAATTAAATTATTTGACATTATCACATATCTCAAAAATTGTAAATATATAATTAATAATTAAAAATATCTTGATATCTAATCATTTTTATCTTTTACATAATTTATCATAATATATGTTTGATGATATAATTGTCTTGTTAAAATTGAGTGATGTTTTTATGTAGTGATTAAACATCACTTTTTTTTTTTTACATGAAAAATATAGAATCTGATGATTTTATGGTTAGAATAACTTCTTGTGAAAAAAAAATTATGTGAAAGATTTCTACAATCAATATTAGTTATAAATAAGTTTAGACCGTTAAAAAATATACACCACAACAACATAAATAAATTTTTGTATCTGAGATCAAACGTTCACCACTTTTCGTTATTGTTACATTTTTACTCTAACAAAATTTATAGAAGGAGAAAAATCAAATTGAAACAACAACAAAATAATATTGTTGACCTTTATAAAAATTCATTCTTCATTAAACTGCTGCTCTAAAGGCCCTTCTAGATGTTTTATCAATGCAACTTTACGACTTTTTCAAAAACATGTATGTATAAAAGTTGCATTATGAAATTACAAGTAGATCAAAATGTTGGATTCTAGACTCATGTTAAAGAAATATTCTCAAACATTAAAAAATTAAAAATGAGTCTAACCTAGTTAATTGAAATGCTTAGCAATGACTTGGGACATGAAGGACAACAAATCTATGTTAATAGACATATCCTTTGTAGTTTAAGATATTACTTTTATTTAGAGTAGGTTTTGCTTCATATTCTTCAAATTAAGCTTGCCGCAAATAGTCATAACTCACGCCAAAAATATTTAGAAGAGCCGAATGAGAAGGAAAAAAAGAAAAACATTAAAAGGGCGAAGAGCTTTGTCCAAGTGAGATCATATACATACCAAACAGAAAATAATCAATATAATTTTAAGGAAACAATAAAACTGCAAGAAAAAACATACATTAAAGGAAGTAAAATATGAGATATCCAATGATGATAACAAATCATTCTAACCAGAAAAGATCCTATGTTTTGAAATAACATACTTAAAAAAATTGACTAACACTTCAATCAACTTTCAATCATTAAAATACCAATAATATCCACGGATAAAATTTAATAGTAATAGATAACAACATAAAAATCCAAAAATATGGGCATGCAAAGTTATTAACTTTCAGAGGATTTTCTAAAGAACACAAAATCACGTCCTTGTATATGAAGGAATGACGTTGTGGATTAAGAAATTAGAGATTTGTAAGGGCTTTTTTTATTGTACTTTCAACAATTTCAGTAGAGAAAACTTGCTTGAATACTCAATTAACGTTTGTTATTTAATATGTACTAACAAATACTTATAACAATAACTTTGTATAAACATAAACAACAAAGTTTAAAGCATGTACTCAAAAACAACAATTAATAATATAAGAATAAATTAATGACCGTAAACAACATACCAAGATCTTCAAAAATAGAATGAAAAAAATCGAGCGCATTGAATGCACAATGTCCCCTTAAGGAAATTATTCCCCTCTAGTACCCGATGTTTAAAGGAATATATCCTCTCAAGATCGAACGATTCTATTCACCAGTGTATTGATACAAAAACAATGGTGTTAGTGAGTCATTCAATAGGAACAAAGTATACAAATATTTAACTGTCCAGAAGAAGAAGAAGTTGAAAATTTTCGTTGTTTTAAAATGAGAGTAAAGTCCTCTATTTATAGACAACAAAGGGTAGTGTGAACAAATGATTATTGTGTCTTATCGGAAAGGTTATAACTCTTTGAGAAAGTTACAACCCTTCGGAAAGGCTACGACCTTTCATAAAAGTCACAACTTTTCATTAAAGTGACAACTCTTCATAAAAGTCACAACTCTTAATAAAAGTCACAACTTTTTGGAAAGGTTACAACTCTTTGAAAAAGTTACAACCCTTCAGAAAGGTCACAACATTTCATAAAAGTCACAATTTTTCATAAAAGTGACAACTCTTCATAAAAGTCACACCTCTTCATAAACGTCACAACTTTACATAAAAGTCACAACTTTTCGTGAAAGGGGAAGACTAGTTTTGGAAATAAAATAAATTAAAAGAAATCCTAGTTTGTGGCGTCGCCACATAGGCGGGCCTAGGGTTCTTTTATATATATATGATATATGATTTTTCAAGATATGATATTTATTATATTCAAAGGATGATATAGTAAATGAGTCTTCTATTTATAGTTTGTTAAGAAGTGTACAAAATCAATAGTAGACAAGTATTATTGAACACAAAGGGTATCTTTTAGTTACTATTATTTGTCCAATTTTGACTTTTTACTTGTCAATTTTTTATTTGTCTTTTTTGACTAATCAAGAAAAAACAATATTTGTTACCTATTATAACCTCAATTTATTTACAGAGTCAATGTTTTTGAAAAATGTAGAATCTCATAAATTGATTTTGAAATTCTATCAATTAATAGGGGTAAAATAGTTAACTCACTATGTCAATTATTATTTTCTTAATAGGCGTGTCAAGTAAAAAATGAACAAGTAAATAGGGACACAGGTAGGACTGGGCGTTCGATCGGTTCAATTCAGTTTACGAAATTCGGTTCGATTCTTTCGATTTTCGATTTGGTGAAAATGCAATTCACACCAAACTGAAATAAATTCTATTTGATTTGGCTTTCACAATTTCGATTCGGTTTGTCGGTTTGTAAAATAATAATGGATATGTTGTCGTTGTTGAACAAATTCACCTCTTCATATGAAATTTCAGATAAAGTTGTCAACTTCTTGTCATTTCCCAAAATATACCTCCAGTGAATATTTTCACTACTACTAGTAACACATTTTCAAATTTCAATCACAACGAATAAAAATTAGGATAAATTAAAACAAGGCCAACCTTAAGCTTTCAGGGGCAAGGACATTAATAGACAACAAACATTCAAGAAGCTTCCATGTTCCAGGGACTAATGAGATCATGATTCATGGCTATTTGCCAAGAGTATCAAGAGTCCATGCACTAGGCGTCCACGCCAGCCTTCAGCCCAAAGGCATTAACACTTAACAAACAACATACAAAAAGTTTCTAACAATTAAAAAGCAAGCAACAATTGTCAACTGAGTGAGTTTCAGTCACTGTGATTATGCGTGACGAGTGTCGAGAACAGAGCACGGACGGAGGCGAGTTTTGCGAGACGAGTTGATGTGAGTCAACGTCATCTCGTCGAGACATGAGTCGAGAGAGTTTCAATTTAGGGATTCACTGATTTAAGAATTGGGTAAGTGCAGTGTAATCAGTAGTGTGCAGTATTAAAATTCGATTTTTTCGGTTAACCGAATTTATTTTGTTAAAATCGAAAACCGAACCGAAAAACTGAAATTTTAAAATTTAAAACCTAAACCGACCAATTTAACCGAAAAAATTGAAACCGAAATTTAAAAAAATCCAGTTCGATCGATTTTTTTGGTTTTAACCGAAATATGCCCCGCCCTAGACACATGAAGTATTTTAAGTTGTTACTATAGTTATTTATAATATTATTTTTAAATATATTAATTTACATATTTTTAAATATATAGTTTTTTTAATCTTTTATGTCCAAATTCAATATTAAAATTTAGAAGTTCAAATCTTGAAATTTAAAGTGTCATGATATAGCATACTTGGTATAGCACAAAAGAGTATGAAAGAAGTGAGATAATTTTTAAATGTTGTAGCCTCCCAATTATAGATGTGGCGCGCTTCACATCGATAACTATGACTCTAAATAAACGGCTTCATAGACACCCTAGGACTCTTGAACTATGTGCTCTGATACCAACTTTGTCACGCTCCAAGCCTACACCATGGGCGTGATCGGGCACTCGTGAATCATTTCTAGCCCAAAGCGAACCCTTGGCCTAGCTCTACTCTTAGTGGAAGACGTTACTCAATTATAAGAGAACTTTAAAAATAAACTTTACTCAATTGTCTCAAAAGATAAACTTAGAATGTTTTAGAAATAAACATTCAACTAGTCAAAGTGGCAACTCAAGTCTCAACATAAACAATTGAAAATGAAAGAACTCATGAACTATGTCTATCTATCTAGGAAGCCTCTACTAACTGAGATGGACGTCGGGACAAGATCCACGGCATCCTACTAACAAAATGAAATAGCTGAAAGTAAACAAGGGATCCTCCGGAAGCAAGGAGACTCATCAACAACTCTGAAGCTCAACTGGATCAACGAAGCGCTGAATGTTGATCCTGGTTACCTGTATCTGCATCATATAAGATGCAGGCTAAATGACGTCAGTACATGCAATGTACGAGCATGTGAGGGGAAACCTAAACAAGACATAAGCTTGAACTGCTGAAGAAACATTTACCTCTTCTCAACTCAACTCAACCTCATTTCAATATAAAGCAATAGAAATAATGCAGTATAAAGAAAAACTTTAAAATAGTAGATAACAACTCAATGTATTAAAAAATACAATATAAACTTTGTTTGTATGCAAAAATACAAAGTAAACTTTGTTGGGAGTTTCTCTAACCAACAACCATCACTATGAGTTATGTGATGATACAACGTCTAGCCCATGCTACCAGAACTCTCCTATACTTTACGGGGGTATAG